TAGTCACTTTTTTACGAAATGTGGTTTTATTTTTGCCACGTGAAACAAGCTATATGAGCTCTGTAAACCTGTGTATGTGTTTACACTATATTATGTCCTCCTCCTCATGCACAGAGTAAATGTGACCTCAGCTGTGTGATGCTGAATAAACCAGTTCACCAGTGTTGTTACATACTTTATTTCATGAAAATGGATCCATGAAAAATCCATGGTCCACAGCTGAGGCCTGTTGTGTCTAATGACACTGTTTCTCTCGCTCTCGTTATTTTGTTGTGTCGGCACGAACGCACACAGATGGATATGAACATTTAATGAACACTTACATACTTTTACAGTTCATGCAAACAAACAACACTGGTTTAGTGAGTTGGAATTAGTTTAAAACTAGGATGAACTAATCTATTTATCTTTCACAGCTTATTGTGTTACTAACCTGACTGTTGACTATTGAAGAAGTAAAAGAATGACAGAAGATCATGAATAAAGTCGATGATAAAATACATGGTAAAACTAATTGCATGGGGAATAAATGGAGCCGAAAGAGAAAGTTGGAACTACCTGTCAGTGTACCTCTTGTTTCCCAATTAATCATATTGACCATGAATAAGTAACAATGCTATTTATTAAGCAGATTAACAAATGAGAAACAAGTAAGAAAGGAGGAGGAAACAGTAACAGAAGTGATTAAAAGGGAAATATCAGCAGAGTTGTTAAGTACAGACATGGAGCCCACTGGCAGTGTTGTTAATCAGCACCGCTAATGAAACTGCAGGTTGTTATGTTGTTTTTGTAAATGTGCTGAGATGTTTGACACGCTCAAGTTTGACCTCACAAACTATTTCATTATTCAGTGGCTGCTGCATCATGGAAAAAAGCTGTTTATGTGACATGATGACTAATAGTGTGTCTTGTTTTTCGTGCACATCTGTCCTTTCAACGTTCCCTCGCCCACCTGAAATTACCAATACTAGTAGAGTGCCCGTTCTAAACTTGCCTGTTCGCTTGGCCTGTGTTAATGCTGCAGAGCTACATCAGAATTATTCCTCATCATTAGCTCCTCCAACAGTTCTACAATATGCTTTCACTTTGTATTGTTTGTGTGCTGGACATTGTGGGCAGAGAACTAAAGTCTGTGGTGGAGAGTGAAGTTAGAAAACTATGTGTTTATCCTACATGGTGTATCTGCAATGTATATTTTATACTCTATGTTTTTCATGAAATCTAATTCTTTATCGCTGTTCATCAGTGACACAATCTTCAGAATAAAAAAAATATATATAAAAGCTCTGTAATTCAGCTCGATATAGAGAATTTAAGTGACAAAATGAACTTGATTTAATGAATGCTATTGCTGTGATGTAGAAGAAGACATCTACCCAGTCCAGACTGTTACCATGTTGTCCCACCCCCAATAACTGTTACAGAGCGCTGGTCTCCTGTGTGTCCAAATCACACCACATTTGACACTGTACTTCCCTGGACCTTTAAGAATACATATGCCAAGTGTGAAGACGTTAAGATAAACGGTTCGCGAGATATGCGTTCCACTTACAGAAAGACAGACATTTGTGCAATTAGTAAGCAGATGTTTGTTAATGAGAAAACCTGTGTGTACATGTGAATCACACACAAACATCCACACAAACTAACTAATACTCCACCAGCATTGTGTATGTTTGCGCTTGTCCTGCTTGCCTGGTGCGGTGTGTTCTGAGTAATGATGCTTCACAGCCAGAAGCTCCTGGCTGCGTGCAGATACCTGTTTATATTTTCCTGGGAACTGATGCTGAATCTTCCATGAGATGTAATGAGAGCTAATGGAGTCTGTCTGACTATGTTTGTCTCTGTCTTTCACTTATGCTCTCACCTGCCTGTCCACACACACTCTTCCCTCTTTCATTATTTCTGTCTCGCCATCCATCGCTCCACTGCACCAATTACTCGTATCTCTTTGTCCTCGTTTGACGTTATCCGAGTCCTGCTTCTGTGCACGTCAGCTCCCCACAGGCTATATTCTGCAGCCATGTGACTGTTTTCCCTGCTGTGCCTAAGTTCAGGCACCCCCCCCTTACTGTCCTCATTTGGTCATCTTCCCCTCACCTGACCCACCCCCCCACACATCTGCTGGTCCTTTTCAAGGTGACAATACTGAAAACATATTTTTTGAACTGTAAAATATTTTTACATATATTTGCAACTATATTTTCTCTCTGGACTTTTTTCTTTCACCCATGGTAATTTTTCATTGTC